AGATGTGGATTAGCGCCCTGCTGGGGATCAAACTCTTGCCTTATCGATGATAGCAGTGATACTTAGCCCTTATGCCACCATGGAAGCCCTATTGGGGTTTAACTTCATAGGCATCATTGATTGAATCACTGGCCACATGACTGAACTCAATCTCCAACTCTCCTCTCCTCCCTAGAATTCAAGCTGCTATCACCTGGTTCAAAGCCTCAAATGTCTGCTTATAGGGTAGGTCTTTCTGGCTTGGCCAGACCCTATCCTGAGGCATCGTGTTAGCATAAACTCAGATAAGATCCCAGGGATCCACCAACAACCAAAGGGAAAATTCAAAGGTTTAGGGCTTATGCTCAGGAACCAGGGGAGAGAAAGGCCAACAAATTATTTTTTTTTTAATACAGCAGCTAGGGAAAAAAGGATGATTTAAAACTATTAAACCAACTCTATATAAATCGACATCATCATCACAGCAGATTTTTCACAAACCAGCCAACAAACACATTTATATTATGAATTAAAGGGCACCATGTTAAAAAAACAAACAAACAAAAACCTATAAAGAAATCTACTGGCCAAATCTATCAACATTAACCAAATTTATGTAAGTATGCCTATCATATTTTAGGAAGTTACAACTTCCTTAAATATGTATGAAGAAAGTTATACATGTTAGTTTTAGATTAGATAGTGAATTTAAAATAGTACGTTTATATTTAGCATCGGAATATAAGATCACATTGAAAATGACAAAGATTATATCAAAGAAACAGAATTTTAAATCCAAACCTTAGTGACTACTTGTACAATCTTGTCATGATTGATTGAAAAAAAAGAAAAATTAGATTCCTACACAAAGGTAATTATTTACTTCAAAGTCTTACATTTTAAACTATACCAGAAATGCTATCATTTCCCACAGGAATATATTCTAGTACTTATAACTCTTAGCATTCAATACCAAACCTTATTCCCTAACCTAAAAATAATTCTGACTTTCCTGGTTTGTTCGAGGTGAAGAAGGAAGTCAGGGCCCTGAGTAGTAACTTCACATATATTGAATCACCCTCACTGCTACTTCGTTGCTCTACCTCTGCCCTACATCACAGCAACCCCTGAAGTACTCCTCCTGATGCCAGAGGCCCACAAGTTCTCATTAACTAAAATTTGTGTGTGGTCCATTAGTTTTACCAAGAACAAAGTGTATGTAGAAGTTTAAAATGCTTCTCAAATTCAAGAGAATAGTTTCATAAATTTATTTTCTTCACATATTGCGTATGTGTGTATGTGTGTGCACACACATTTATGTCCTTATATGAAAAGGTTCTAATTTCATTCTCCAAACATGCTTCATCATCTGGAAAATATGTTCTTTCTTATGTCAAATATCTCTCGGTCACAGCTTTTAAGGAAGCCATTTAAAAAATCAAAGCAAATTTTTTTTTTTTCCTAGAAAAGAACTCCACAATATACCACCACCTTATCATAAGCCCATATAAATTGTAAAGGTAAATTCTCAGTACTATGAGAACCTCTGCATACTGAAGAAGCATGAACCTCTATATACTGAAGAATTGGGGCATTCTAAGCAAGTGTCTGCAGAAAATGAACTTCAGATAAACATTTAGAAGTATTTCCAAATCATGTCGTGTTAGTGAAGTGTGTTTCCACTGTAGAGAACAGAATGTCTGTTTGATTTCCTATCACTGACTTTTTTTTTTTAATTACATTAGTTTGTGGCCTAGCTAATTTGAGAAAAATGGAAATAGGCAGTCAGTCTTCCAATTATTGATGGAAATGTAAAGGGTTCTTCTGTTGAGAAAGACTGAAATAGAGAAATAGAAAAAAATAAAGGTAGTTACCATTGTTAACTACTAGCAAGAATTTAAATAATTATTGTCAAAGATGATAATAAACAATGATTTCTTAAGTGATAAACTTGTGTTGCTCAAATACTGAAGACCATTTCTTTCTCTTTTGGTTGTTGGAAAAATTTTTTCTAAGGAATACAGCATCACTTTTGCTTGATAAAACTATCTTCAGTCTCTATTTAGAAATATTTTAATACATCATTTAGAAAAATCTTGTCATTTTCAACTTTATAAGGTATAATTTAAACATAGATAAATTCATAGTAAATAACTGCTCTGTTTTGCACTTTAGTAATGTTGAACTACAGTCAAACATGTTTTAAAGTATTAATTAGGTTTCATATTTCCCTGTGAGTTAACCATATGTCCAGTCTGCAAGTGAACTAAGTGTTTAATAGAGATCATTGAGAAAACGAAAATGATAATGAAGGGAAGGTGGTCAGAATCAGTTCATGCACTTGCTCACTGGTATTGAGTGTTTGCTTTAGAAAGGCACAGGGCATAGAGTTGTGTGTAAAACAGAATCCAAACTCGTGGAGCTTGTTATTTCTTGAGGAAGAGAGATATTAAGAGTATTCACTTACAAACTTTGCTATGTGCTAGGAAAAGCAAACAAAGAATATAAAGAAAGTCTTAATGTGGCTTAATTTAGATGGGGACAAGGAAGGCTTCTCGAACATTACAACAGAAAAAATAATAGATAGATACCTTTAGAGGTGTCAGATTTGTCCAAGTTAGGATATGGAATAGGGACATTCCTGGCTGAGAAAACCACATCAGGGAGGATGCTGAGTAAGAAAGTGTTTGGTGAGTTTCAGGAGAAAAACGTGACTAAAACAGGGATATGTGGAGGGTGGTACACAATGAGGGAAGAAAGAAAAGCAAGGATCATTCATGCAGGGTTTGTGACTATCCTAAGGATTTTGTATTTTATCTTAAGTATGAGTAAAAGATTTTTATAGGAAGTCATATGATCACATTTGTGTCTTTTACACATTACATTGGCTGCTATGTAGAGAATGGATAGGAAGAAGACAAGAGAGGAAATAAGTAGCTTAGGTAGGGGGTTAAGCTAGAAAGTGATAGATTAAATGGTAGATGGAGTAGGGTGATGATGACGATGATAGAGCTGGAGAAAAGTGGGTAGATTGAAGACATACTGTAAGTAGTAGTGATAGGATATGGTAATGGAATGGATTCAGGAGAGGGTCAGGAAACAAGTGTCGACAATAGCATCTGTCTTTTGAATTCAGCAGCTGGCTAGTTGATGACAGTATCATTGAATGACATGGAGAACTTTGAAAAAAAAGTATATCAAATGGAGCCAAGAGCAGCCACCACCCAGTCTCACAGTGGCAATGTGGCAGCTCCCAGTTCAGCAACCTTAGTGACTGCTGTTGGAACTGATGAGCAGAGTTTATAAGAGGAGACATTCCAACTGGGGGCATAATGTGTACAGTACACAGCAAAGACATGAAGGGAATCATCATAAGTTGGAAATGGGGAGGATGAATACTGATTGAAGCTGGGATCAAATTTGTAGGGTTTTGTATGCCCTATAAAGACATCTGAACAGATACTCAGGTAGTGACTAACCATCAGCAGCCTGTTTTCCTTTTGTGTTCAGGTGCTTCTTGCACTTACTTCACTTCCAGTTGTTATTTAGGCTAACAAATACAGCTAGTCATACCTTGTCCACTTTTTCTATGCCACTTGCAGCATATTTCCACAATTCAGTGCATTTTGCAGCCTGATACTGTGGTTCTCTGTATGTGAAATTGCTCTTTGGCATGAAGAAAAGTCATGACTCATTCACAGGAAGCCTGTTTGGATGGAACTTTTGAAGACCATAAAGCAATTGAAAAATACAGACAGAAAAATAAAATATCATTCAGGAGAAAAAATACTTGTCAACTACTAAAGCCAAGAGTGTTCTTTTTATAAATGACATGTTTCATCTTTTATGCCCATGCAATTTTCCTCTATGCATCTGGATGATAATGGACTATCTCAAGTGGAGATGAACAAGCACAGCTATACAAAGTGGTCACAAATGTCCTCCAAAATAATCTAAACCTCATGTAGATTTATTTTTGGATTTATAGACCCAGTCAGAACCAACTGAATAGACTCATGACATTTGATTAATTATTTTACAAGTCTGTATGTGGGTATGTTCTGTAATTTTGAAACTACCTTCAGGTGCCTTGTGGTGGGTGTGGTGTGGTCACATACATCTGAAGGGTGTGATCCTATACCTCTATATCATATACAGTGATATAAACCAGTGTTACCACAATAAAAAAATAAAACTAATGGACAAGGGAAATTCAGCAGAGAAATCTGATTATATTGTCATCAACCTTTTCACAGCTGTCAGGATATGCTTTCATATATCATGAAATCATATTTATACTTTCAGTTAAAAATTAAAAAGAAATAAAAATAAACTGAACTCATTTTATGCACAAAAGCCTGGCTTCAAATCAACTAAGTTCCCAGAATAATTTCTTCTTTCAGTACCTTCTACTTTCACTATAATCAGGGCTTGACTTTAAAGAAGATTGCTCCATAAAATTTTAAGACATTATCCAACGGAAAGATATGCTTCTCAGAGACAGGGAACATGGTATTTTACTGGCCCACATACAGGGACCAGCAGAAATGGGGTGACTCAGAAGAAAGTGGGCAAAATAAAATCCTGTCAGCAGGCCTCGTGAACTCAGAATGTGTTTTTTCCCTCTAACAAATGTTGATTTTCTTTGTGGGGAGTGCTGAGTGATGCTTGTAGCAAGAGTTTTTCATTTAACTTGTGGAAATTGTGAGCAATCTAAAGAACTGGTGGCTATGGCAGGAGACGCAAAATGCAGGCTCTGTCAAATTCCTCATAGGTCACTAGTCCTGTCCGACCACCTCCTTAAAACAAAAGTATGAACATCAAGAAGGGTGGAATCCCACTAGGCTTCAGATGTCAAGATGTCTTCACACCTCACTTTCATTTTACCATATGATGAAGTAAGCGGTAAATTTAAACAAATATATTTATAGTACTTATTTAAATGTATTTCAAAATTGCAGTGTAAAAATAGGATCAAGATAAATCTTCCCACATTCTCATTATCATCCGCTTGGTTTTAGGAGCATGGTATTCCAACCGACATGGGCTACGCGGTGGCACCTCACCACTCAGGCGTGTACCCTGTTCATGTTCAGCTTTATGAGGCCTGGAAGAAAGTTTGGAATATTCGAATCACCAGCACTGAAGAATATCCACATCTGAAACCAGCTAGATACCGGAGGGGCTTCATCCACAAAAACATCATGGTGAGCTTTCTGCAGTGTCTGCAGTATGGGTGGGGGCACCGCCCTGCCATGTTTACACTCCTCGCTTGAGGAAAGAACAAGAGAAGAGCCAACTGCTAAAAATTTAAAGCTCCATGTTGCAGGAAGTATATCTGTCATAGCTACATAAAGGATGTTTTAATATTAAAGTTGCTTCTTTTCAATTTCTTGAAAATATATATATATATATATATATTTACTGACACTACTGATGTTAAACAGGCACTGATATTTAGGTTGCAGATGATTTACAGAAGCCCTAATTTCTTCAAAAGTTACTTATTATATAAAACTAATATCAATTCTCTCTATATTAATCATGTTGCTCTCTTACAAGTCAAACTGTTCTTTTTTTAAAAAAGATTTATTTATTTATGCATACCCTTGGGGTACAAGCCAGAGGTATGGGGCGGGGGGGAATGAGAGGATTCACTAGAGACACAGTGGGAAACTGAACAGGCAGACTGACTGAAATACACTGCTGAAGGGAGCAGCGGGCGAGACAGGAGAGGTCTGTTGCGCCATGTGGGTAGCTCCCTGGCCAGCCTGGAATCGAACTTGTGCTGCAGAGGCTGCACATAGCTTCACAGTGCTGTGCTTAACCCCTTGTGCCACCAGGGAGGTCCTCAAACTGTTTTTCTTTACCATGCCAGGCTAATCATTTAATCATTACTAGGCACAATGTAGTGTACAAATAACAGATGATGTTAATTAAATAATTTGTATCTATTGTCCAGTCTCTCCAGAGCTTCTCTCTTTTTGTGTGTATGTGTTGCTTTTCACACTGGTGACAAAGGCATGTTGTCAAAGAATGTTTTTACATAATACTTGGTGAAATCTCCCAGAATAAGTAATTAAATACTTTTTGTATGCTAACTAATGACTAATGATTCAGTTTCTTTTATTTCCTCCATGGCAGTCCAAGTTTGTATCAGTTTCTGTCTGTTCTCTATATTCTATTTCATTGTCTGAATTTCATTTCTGTCTTGTTCCAATATCATTCCATTTTGGTTCGCATCACTGTGTAGTATAGTTTGAAATCAGGGAACATGGTACCTTCATTCTTCTTCTTTTCTCTCTGGATTGCTTTGGCTATTGGGGTCTTTGTTGGTCCCAGACATATTTTAGAATTGTTTGTTCTATTTCCTTGAAAAATATCATTGGGATTTTGATAGTATTGCATTGAGTCTGTAAACTCCTTTAGGTAATATAACCATTTTAGCAATATTTCATCTTCCAGTCCTTGAACATAGAATATCTTTCCATTTTTTGTGTCTTCTTTTATTTCCTTTGACAGTGTCTTCTAGTTTTCAAGGTCCTTTACCTCCTTTGTTGAGTTTATTCACAAGTATTTCATCCTTTTTGACATAACTAACTATAAATGGGATTATTTTCTTAATTTCTTCATTCATTGTTTGCATATAAAAAACAACAGATTTTGTGTACTGATTTTGTATCCTGCCACTGTATTATTTCTAATAGTTTTCTGGTAGAGTTGTTTTTTTTTTTCTATGTATTTTATCATGTCATCTGCAAATAGTGATGTTTTCACTTATTTTTTTCCCAGTTGGGATTCTTTTTTTGACTTTCTCTCACCTAATTGCTCTAGGTAGGACTTTCAGCACTATGTTAAACAGTAGTGATGAGAGTAGATATCCATGCCTGGTTCCTAATATTAGGGGAAATATATTTAGTTTCTCACCACTGAGTATAATGTTGGCTGCGGTTGTGCATATGATGGCCTTTTTTATGTTGAGATAAGTTTCTTTTATTCCCATTTTATTGTGTGTTCTTATCAAAAATGAGTGTCAAATTTTATGAAATAAAGTTGAACAACCAGCAAATTGATGTAACTTGGGGGAAAATGAATAAATACATACATAGAAACTAAATTTTTCCCTAAATCAGAAAAATTCAAAGAGTACTGGCAAAGTTGGTTATGGGTCCCCTGACTGAGCTTCACACACTGGGAAGGGACATCAGGCAATGAAAGGGACAGCAGTTCTCTGTCACTGTTTGTACAGATGTCATCCTCTAGAATTAGGTGTAACTGACTTCTTTTCAGATGGTTTTCCAATGTCTGTAAAACTTGCAGAATGGATAATGACATTAACTCGGATCAACTGCTATTTTGACATTTTCCTCTATAAAAACCACTGTAAATACTACAAGGGACATAAATGGCCATATTTTATTCCAGTCTGCCATTCCTTTTTACTGAAAATGAACTCACGGTCCCCAAGCTGCCAGCCTTTTGACTAGAGAGAGGTTTGAAGACCTGGGTTATATGATAATGTACAAGCATTTGGTACCCTTGTGGCATTTTAAAATCATGTGCAGTCTTTGTAGAACAGTGAACTTAAGTCTCTAAAGACTTTACTCACTGTTGTTTCATTTGTTTCTGTTCCTCTCTCTACTGCCAGGAAACTTACTTATGATATCTTCATTTTTCATTTCTCCTGTAATATATTTTACCTGTATTATAAATGCATGAATATTGCAGGTAATACAGCTCTAGTGGATTTCTTGCATTGCTATAACTGTCCCCATGGTTCCACATCTGCAGCAATCGATGGAAAACATCTTTATTTGCTTTATGGACCCCTGAATGAGAATTTCCAAGAGGGGAATGTCCAGCAGGCAGTTGACTATGCAATAAGAGAAAGGAAATAGGGCTTGGAGTCATCCAGATAGAAGTTGGGACCACAAGAACCAATATGCCATCTAGGAACAGACTGCAAAATACAAAAGAGCTAGGAGGTGAGGTATAAACACACCTACATTATTAGGTCATTCCCATATATTGCTATGTGAGATGAGGAAAATTTTGTTTTTATAATCCATTCACAATTCGAAGTCAAAAGGCCTTGGGTCTCCCTGGTGGCACAGGTGGTTCAGCACAGCGCTGTGAGGCTGTCCGCAGCCTCTGCAGCATGGGTTTGATCCCACATGGCACGGCAGACCTCTCCTGTCTCGCCCACTGCTCCCCTCAGCAGTGTATTTCTGTCAGTCTGCCTGCTCTGTTCCCCGCTCTGTCTCTAGTGAATCCTCTCACCCTCCCGCACATCTGGCCTGTACCCCAGTTCTTGTATAAATAAATAAATCTTAAAAAAAAAGTCAAAAGGCCTTAAAGAAACTCATTATCTTCTCTTTTACTGGCTATTGATCCTCTATCACTAATTCAGTTCTGTGCTTCAAACATCACACTGACCCTACCCCCCAGTTCCCATCAGTCTCTACAGCCTATCAATAATTCCCTTACAAAATTTTTTTCTTTCCCTTGTTTTCTTTCCATTCCTTTCCCACAACCTTAGTTCACTATATCATTTTCCTGCATAAATTGGGGTAGTAGTTCCTACTTTGTCTCTTGACAGCTTTTATCTATCCCCCTCCTACTGCAGGCAGTGCCAAACTTTTCATCTCTCCAAAATGCCACTTTCATCTAGGCCTTCCTAACCTTGTTACTTTCAATTGTTTCCACACTCCTTAACTTGCCCTACAGGAACCTGAAAACAACCTAGACAAAATCTGTCTTCATCTACTTCCATGTAGCTAACACAGACCCATTCCAGCTACAAGGTCTTAACAGTATTGTGTTTTCATACGGTATTGTATATGTCATTTTATTCATCTTGAAAGAGTTTCTGGTCTGCTTACTCCTCTTCCTCAATAGCAAGCCCTATATCTTAAATAACTGAATGCAAAGCATGTTAGTGTCAAACAGTTGACTACCCACCCTGATCTTAATCTCCTCTAGGGTCCTATAATATATCATCTTATAACTCTACTAAGAACATACTACATTTCAAGGTGATTGCATCCCGACCAGAGTCTGAGTCTCTAGTCCTATTATCTATTGGAGAGAGCCAGAGACCTCTCAGTAAGAACAGATCCTGATTATCTACTTACTGTTTTTAATGGAAATACCCATTGGTAAAGACTCCCATTAATCCCACTACAGCCTCCTAGGTGGTCTTTACTGGTAGTCCCAGAAGCATTTATTAACAATTATTCTAGGTTAAGACCTTAGGTATAGGATATTGATTTTAGGTCCCACTGGCCAAGATTCTTGTTCACTGTGGCAATCATTTCTACCTCCCAGGTACTATGAGCAACTTTAGGATTTCAAGAGCTCACTAATGTCTCAAAGTTTAAATTTAATAGTATTATACACCCAGAATCAGTAATAGAAGGCAGTCCACAGCAGAGTACCTTAAAAAAGGTGGACACAGGCCTCCCTGGTGGCACAAGGGGTTAAGACGCAACCTATGAAGCTGTCCACAGCTTCTGCAGCACGAATTTGATCCCCAGCCAGGGAGCAACCCACATGGCGAATTGGACCTCTCCTGCCTTACCCACTGCTCCCCTTAGCAGTGTACCCTCGTGTGATGCTCCCTTGGCCATCCTGGAGCACCTGGCAGCTGTCAGCCTCTCAATGAGCGTGGTCCTCCCCAAAGTTGTAAAGTAAAGCATGGCACTTCATCTTCACCGTGTTCAAACTCAGTAATTTGATAAATAGACAAAAACTCATATTTCTTTTCACTTCTCTCTTTTTTTGCATACAATCAGCCAGTGAAGCAGGCCCTAAGGATGGCTCTGTATGCTTCCATATTTTTTTTTTTGCTTCCATAATTTTTCAAGCAAGATATTCAACCTGAATCCTAAAAGTGATTCAGAACCATGCACTTTTAAATGTAAAACTAATCTGACATTTAATCACACATGAGCAATTCATTTTTTAACTTTTGCGTCTTCTCACCCCAATCTACCTTAAATCCTTCAAAATCTGGATGGTTTGTGAAATGGTGATGCTCAGTGAGAATAGTCAGAAATGAAAGGCCATTAACCAATTACTGGATTGTTTCATTCATTTGTGGAATATAGGTAACCAAAGAAAACACAAAAACTTACAGAATGAAAAATACAGTGGCTGGAGGGAGAATAGATAAGACAGGAGGAGATAAGATGAGATACTGGGACTGGGGCTTTGGTGAAGCATGTGCACATATGGAGGGGTGCAAAGAGTTTAAAATAAGTATTGTAAGTAAGTGAATAAATGCTAAATAAAGTTTTAATAGTTAACTAATGATATGTCTGTAACTTGCTAGGGAATATACTTACTTCTGTTATGAGAGCTCTGCACTTTTCTTTCTTGTTGAGTTTGTACATTACATTATGAGAAAGTATTATGCTTTTCAATGTAGGAACCACCAGACCTAATACTCTATAGTTAAAGTGAACTTCATTTTACTATTTCACCAAGTAGCTTTAAATATATAACTTTTTCCAATTTACCAAAATAATAAGATATATAAAGTTCTGATTTACAAGGCAATGTACAATGTATTCACTGAGCCAAGAAATATGTTTTCTATAAAAAATTTTCCAAGGACTGGATTGAAATTTATTATAATATACATTCAATTGAGAGAAATAAGAACTAGTATATTTGCAAAAGGTTGCCATGCACGGGAAATCCTGTATAGGTAATATTTTGAAAACACTTAAAGAACCAAATGTGCTTTACTAATCAAGTCAGAAAAAATAACACTTGATTGGCTTCAGACAATAAGCAGAAGACCCACACACATAAGATTCTGTAAAACCTGAAGTCTCAAAGTATATTCATTAATATTCTGCTATTTCAAATGTACAGTGACAACACAGGTCATACTGAAGACATGTAAGATTTAACTGAAGGGCCTCCCCAGTGGCACAGCAGCTTGAACATGGTGCTGTGAAGCTGTCCACAGCCTCTGCAGTGCTGGTACAATTCCCAGCCAGCCAGGGAGACACCCACATGGCACGGCAGACCTCTCCTGTCTCACCCGCGGCTCCAGTCAGCAGTGCTCTCAGGCCATCTGCCTATTCTGCTCCCTGCTCTGTCTCTGGTGAATCCTCTTACCCTCCTGCACATCTGGCCTGTACCCCAGCTCTTGTATAAATAAAATCTTTTTTAAAATTATATAAAAAAATATTTAACTGAAGAGTGTACCATCTTGCACAGCTCTATTTCACACCTTTTTTTTATAACTGCACTGATATTTTTATCAGGAAAGCTGTAAGAATTTTTTTTAAATCTTCTTATTACATCCCAAATATGTAATTGAAGTAAATAATTACTTTCCTATACAAAGGGTGAAAAGAAGACCTTTTATTAAGTGACCTTTTGTGATTTTGTTGGTGACACTTCATAAAAATTACTAACCAAATGAATAATATCGTTATTACTTTTGGAACTGGCAGCCTTTAAACTTAGAATTTGGGGCAATTACTACAGCTGGCAGTAGTCCGCCCAGACTAGAGCAGATCCTATGATTTGTGTCTCAAATATTTGTTCTAATTTAAAATGTCACTTCCTAAGAATCACATTAAGAATTGACTTCATTTTCTAAAGCATGTGTAGAATTTGGCAGAAAGTATTATCCTTAAAATTTTTGTCTACTAGAATTACAATATAGCACAGACAATTCCACTATTTTTAAAGTCCTATTTTTGCTTCCTTTTTGTTTTACTTCTTACGATGCTGGAATATGCAAGGTCTCATATTAGAAGTACTCACTTGGGGATTTAAAGTAGATAAGGGGCTAAAATAATTCAAAGTCTGTCTTAGTTTCCTTCGATATTGTTGTCATTCTTGCTTTCCCAGAGTGTGAAGGATTTTAAGAATTCAATAATGACACCAGCTTGCACATCATCTTCCTGAGAAAATAATTAGTTGACAGCGACCATGTCCTCACTGTACATTCTTCCTTCAGGTCCTTCCAAGACAAACCTGTGGGCTTTTCACTCACACAATTTTCTACAAAGAATATCCAGGAGGGCCTAAAGAGCTGGACAAAAGTATCCAAGGAGGTGAACTTTTCTTCACTGTGGTCCTCAACCCAGTAAGTACTTTGAATTATTCTCCAAATAAATAATGAAAAGTGACAGGGCGGATGGAAATTAACCTGACAGAGAGGTCAGGTTTTGGGTGGTTATCAGCCAAATCGATATGAAGTTCCAGCTCTAGAACAGTAGTAAAAACTAAATGGAACCACATCAACAAGTGGGGGCAAATTAATCCTATGACTAGCAGCGCTATGAGGAGCGTAGGATAGAGACAGGGAAGTGCTCCCACAGAGCCTCCACTGCATTGGAAAGTGATCAGAAATCCAAGATTCTTGCTTTCATGGAGAAAAAGCTTTTCATGTCTCCAACACTCCCATCTCCACTGGGGACCAGTTTTCTCATTTAGGTGGGCAATACTTCTATTATCCTTTTTTATTTCCTACTTAAAGTAAAAGTATAAGCAAAAGTGAGAGAGGAATTAAATAAGCAAATGTGGTCATTTGGGATACTTTCATGTTAGATCTTGTGGGGGCTCTGGCAGGGGCAGAGCAGCCTATTTTAGTGGGCTACTATGCCGCCTCCTCCACTTTGTAATGTTTGTGTGCCAGGCTACAATAAACCATTTGCATTAATTTCTGGTTGTATAGAGAAAGAACAAGTTGCAATAATGTGTAAGGAAAAGGGCAATCAATAACATAAAAGGTAAAGTTAGGCTTGTTTAACAGGAGATGTATGGGTTTGTCCCTGGTATTAGCGATATTCAGGATGGAAAAAAATGTAATTTTCCAAATGTGAAAAAAATTCTATCAGCATGAAAGTTGGAAAAGATTAGGCTAAGAGAATAAGATTTAAAAGAGCCCTCTCTTGACCTTAATTTTAAAGGTCTGGCAAATAAAATTGCAGGTATTTATCATCATCTGCTTGCATTCTATAACTGTACCTATTTCTATAACTGTTGCTATTTCCTAGAAAATGAGCACAAATAGAGATGACTCATCTTTGGGCAGAATCAGTTAGTGCACCCAAAATTCACGGTAATTTGGAGTACATAACATTTCACCTTTTAGAAGTTTATCGATCTTCCTACCCCAAAGATAATAAATAATTCTGATTTTTACATCAGAAAGAATCTGAGACTTCTAACTGACCTATTCCTTACCAATAGAAGTATCTTTGGCATCATGTCATATGGCTTCCTTCGCTTTGTCTGCAATTCAGCCAGTAAATACAGGTAAAAGAGTTAAATCTATGCCTGATTTTGAATGGAAGACTCAGTTAAAATATTCTTAATATGCTAACATTTTCACCAATCATTTTAAGACTCTTTAATCTGTAATCTATAAAATTCTGATGTTTTACATTTCCTTTCATCAGAGAGTAATAGGACTATGAAAGATAAACATCTGTTTGATTCTTTTACCAATAGCTGCTTTGGTGCTTAAGAAATTCCTAGTAGTACTGTAATTTCAGAACTTTGTAGACCTACTTTAACATTGGAGACATTCTAAATTAGATAATTCATAAGAAATACTATATTTTTTACTAATTAAAACCAAATTATTTTCTTAATTAAAAAAAATCTTATAAAGGTTTTGTTGAACTTACATACTAATTTGGACTAATTTACTACTAAATTACATACTAATTTGGACTAGTCTAACAAACTCTTTAAATACTTAATAAACCGTGGTACTTTTCAGGCTTCTATTAATAATATTAGGTAGTTTTTTGTGTCCTGGTGAGAAGATTCATGGGGAATAAAAGGAAGAAAAAAACTTCTCCACAAAACTTGTTCTTTCTTCATTCAGGAAACTTTCAATAGACAGTATTTTCAAATCAACCAGACTCAATATAAATGACAGGGTTTACCACACATCATATGACAGACAAATCCAAAGTAACTTCATCTGTCATATTGACTCCAAATATAAGAATTTTAGAAGCCATTGTAGTTCTCTTGAGTTCTCTGAAACCCAAGATTTCCCCAAGGGAAGGCTGTTATCATTAATGACATTACCCTTGCAGAATAAAGTGTGGAGGGGTGGTCTGTTTCCAAGAATTCTTCATTCTAGTTTGTGTTAAAATTAAGAAATGTCCAGGTGCAATGAAGCATGCTAGTTTATTCTTTATAAATTAGCATGCTAATTTATTCTTCTTTAGGTAAGAATAAGAATGAGAAAAACTTGATGGAATCAAAGTAGATATTAGCATCTGGAAAGATAAGAATTTCAATTACAGTGAATCTGAAAGAAAGCCACTGTAAGCTTAATAGCCAAGACTCAATTAGAAGTATCATTTTCTGAGAATGATGAATGAGGTTAGTGTTTACTACCAAGAGGTAGATGGATCTTGAAAACATACCTGTGAACTTGAATCTATTCTAGATACACTTGAGTTGAATGTTAAAATATAAGCAGAACTTTAATTAATGCATTTTAAAATCTTTCTTCTTGTATGTCAACATAATATCAAAGCACTACAATAACTTTTACCAGTTTTAGGGTGAGGTGAGGGGTGGCTGCATTCTAGGGTCATTTAAACTAGAATAAATCACAACAATGATAACTGTGCTCCTTAAACAGAATAACTCTCTGGCCTTAAATGTCTGCTGTTACCAAATATTTTATTATGCCTTTATGTGCATCTATTAAATGCATTTTCATTTCTCATTTTGATATAGCACCTATTCACCACACCTTCTACCCAAATGCCTGAAAGCTTGCCCTAAGTCATATTTCTCTAATTAAAGAAGACTCACAACCTTGGATATGAATAGAATGAGTACCTTAAAATGGGAGTAACAGATGAGTGGATGATGATAAAAGTGAAACAAGAATATTCATACAAAAATGTAACCTGCATAAATAGAAATTATCCCACACTAAACCTTTTTTTTTAACAAAGTAATGAGAAAATTAGACATCAGCATGAAAATAAACTAGAAGGAATTCAGCAGTTTTAGCAATGGTACCTTAGATCACAAGATTGAAAAAGATTATCACTGTCGTTTTGTTTGTCTGATTGTCATAAAATATCTACAACAGTATTCTTATGAGCAGAATACTCACACATACACACTACATGCTACCTTAAACACAAGATTGAAAAAGATTATCACTGTCGTTTTGTTTGTCTGATTGTCATCAAATATCTACAACAGTATTCTTATAAGCAGAATACTCACACATACACACTACATGCTACCTTAAACACATGATAGAACAATAGTTCTTTATCTGTAAATCCCGTATGTTACCTAACACCTACCACACCTCATGATTGCATGTCTACACATCTTTTCTCCTATGCAAGTGGGCATTCTTGCAGAAATGATCTATGAGTCTTTCACCTCTATGCTTCCCATTGGATCTAGATCAACGTTTTGAATCTAATAAGAGGTCACTAAGTGTTTTATAAATGATTGACTCAATGCATGAATAGTTACATTTTCCGTTTATCACTTGATTTAGTACTTTTCCAAATGTGAATGATATCAAGTCTAATTTTAATGAAACTGCATTCTAGCAGGGTATCTGCTTGAAATTATGTGAAATTTGGATCCAGGAAATTTTTAATGTGCTCTAAATATTTGGCAAGTTTTCACAAGTGTGAATGAAATAGCCTGACATGGAACAATGGACACTTAAGACTGAAAATTACCACAAAGATCATCTACTCAGTCACTTAATTTTAGTCTCAAGCTCAGTCCTATCATATTCTGTTGAGAGGCTGAGCTCTTTTTGACTCTGAGTTCAGTGCTTCCACCACTCCATCACAATGCTTCTGCTTCCGGTTAAATTGGCCTTAAGTGATGCACATTACCTCTTCATGTGACTCATTCCTTGGTATGAGGAATATGTGTGAATGGTTTAAAATTTCTGGTCATTATCTAGGAAAAAGCAAGTCATCTCCATTTTAGGTGAAAAGTGACGTTTAAGTGCTTTTTGAGAAAAGCACAAGCAGTTATAGCTTAGGGGAAATGTCGAATGTACTTTTAAAGAACTACGAATAATAAACCATGTACTTTTTATCTTAAAAGAACAGGCCCTATAGGTGTTACTTATAATATGATAAAACTTTTAAACTGTAAAGCCAAGCCATTTTATTTCACTTATTTGCTTCCCTCCACATTTTTTATTAGAAATGTTCTTCACAACTAACTATGGTGTTATATAATTACTTGCCCCTGTGAGATAAGAAAGCATGCCAATGTCTTCTTGATTTCTACAGCTAAGAAAAATAGGAGTGTGATAAACTAAGTCACTGGAATACATATTATTGAAACATTTAAGAAAACAGATATTAGGCTAAAGAAATGAATGCAGTGTTATTGCTTGTTTAATCCTTGGCTGTTTTCCCATAACTTTTAGAAATTTTCCCTCACTAGGAAAAAAATATTAAACCTGGCCCTTATTCACTTTTATGGTCACTTCATTCAGTCATCTCACATTGGCACGTTTTATCCCACCCACACAGAATGAGGTATAATACTCTAAACCCAATCTGTTATCTCATTTTATGCCTTAAAGAGCTGTTGCCTCAGGGTGGAATACCTTTCAACAAATCTGAGCTAACAGGGCCTCCCCGGTGCGCCAGTTCAATCCCCAGCTGCTCTCCTGGCCACCGGAGGAGGGTCCCACATGGCGCCACAGACCTCTCCTGCCACCCGCTGCTCCCCTCAGCAATGTACCTTGTTCCTTCTGCCTGCTCTGCTCCACGCTCTGGCTCTGGTGAATTCTCTTAACCTCCTGCGCTTCTGACTATACCCAGTGCATGTATAAACAAACAAATAAATAAATAAAACATGCCTCTATTTAAAAAAAAAAAATTATTTAAAAAAAAAATCTGAGCTAACAGTTATCTATCTATTCATAGAAGACTTCCTGAACTCTTAGTTTCTCCTGTGTTCTCATAGCATATGGGCATAACCCTAGCATAACTTGTCCAGGTTTATCTTGCGCCAGTAGTTTGTACATTCTTTGACAGAAATCATCATGTCTTTTTCTATTTATAATCACAATATACTGAAAAATGTCTGGCACATAGTCAGTCCTCA